ATACCACCATAGAATGCAAGGATTGGTCAGGACCTGAGGTGTTTGATAAAATGATACAGAGAAAATGTGGGTCATTTTTTGTTATGGTACCTGATGTAAGAAAATTGATCTACAATTTACAAATAAAAGTCATTTGTTCTAACATTTTTATCAAACTATTATTTTATTCAAACAAAAATAAAGACTGAGAGTAAAATGGCCATTTTCTGACATTCAGACTGTTATTCAGCATAACAACCAAACAATAACTTATCTATTAATATACAGACAACTATATCCATACAGGTCTTAACAGAAAACGAACCGAACAACCCCTAAAAAAATGAAGGTCACAACCTTGGCCTTTATATTTGTAGGTAAAAAATGTTAGTCTCTATTTATTAAATAATAATATAATATTGAGTTTATATATATATATATATATATATATATATACTACCTTATAAACCAGATTTATCAAAAGTCTTAAAAATAATTTTTAATGCATAAAATACTATACATTTATGCACAAAGTCTTAAAAGTCTTAAAAATAACTCATAATGCATTAGTATTACTACTTTATGCATTCAGTCTTAAAATCTTTTAATTTACAATTAAAATAACATATAATACAAGTTATCAATGCACATTATTGCCTTTTCTTTTCATGTTTTCAAGATACTTTTGACACATTTCACTCATGCATTCACCCTCTCATACCTCTATGTCTTCTCCCCATCCCCAATGTGAGATTCAAACTGATATTCACCATAAGTTATTAAAAGTTCTCTCATTCATCTCCCATTCAATTGCTCTAGAAATCCCGGTCTCACTCTCGATCTCTTGATTTTTTGCTCTTGGTGTAAATCGAATACATTTGTGGAGTCGTTTAAATATGTTGGATTTTAAATATATTGGTTTTTAAATTGTCATACAATTTTTTTCATCGATAGACTGTAATTGGAACCATAACTTTTATTTATTCAAATTGTATTAATATGTAAAGACCAATTGTAACTTATATCATCATAAAACCAGTGAAACTTCAAAATCATTAAAATTCACGGCTTCCGCTACATTACACGGATACACATCTAGTATTGATTAATAGTTTAGTATGTTAAGTAATATTTTGTGTGAAGTTTATAATTTAGTTTATTTTTTTAATTACAAGTGTAAATTATATTTAAATAATTTAATATTTTATTGAAATTTTTTTAGTAAAAACGAAAATATGAACTATTTTATTATAATTTTGGTCAATGAAATTTAAACATACATAAAAAAAATATTTATAAAACCATAAAAGATTTAATAAAATGAAATTTCATGCATAAATTTAAAAAAAAAAACATATATTAACTATAGTTTTGAGTCAAGATAATAACATAAAATTGAATACAATAACATAGATTCATAGAGGAAAAGATAAAAATATTCATATTGGATTTCCAAATTTATTAATTGAACATTTATGAGACAAGTTCATTAACTCAGAAAATTAATGTAATTTAATTTGCTTATTTTGTAATTTAATCTACTTTTAAATGTAATATTTATTAATTAAATATTGTCATTGTCGTTTTAATTTTTATAATGTTTTATTACATAAACTATTGTAAAATCATGTTATATATCATAATTATTAATAAAATGGTATACTAATAAACAAATATATTATTTTATTATTATTACTGTTATAATACTAAAAAATATTAGTGTGCGGTTGTAGTTCACTTTTTAAGGTGTGTTTGATGTCCAGACAAGACAGAACATGACAGGATTGAATAATTGTCAACGCTTGGTAAGATAAAAGTGGACAAAAAAATAAGTAAAATGACCAATTTACCCCTAATGAATTGTTTATTTTAATTAATTTATGTAATTTATTAGATTATAATAGAATAATTATTTTTTATAACAAAATACATCATTTGAAAGTTTTTATCAAAACAATTAAAATGACACCAAATAAAAATTTTATGTAGTTTCCAATTTTTATTTTTATCTTTTTTCTACATTATTTTTTTATTATTAATATATAATAAATTACA